GCGGCAAGGGCGGAGGAGGAGAGAAAAGCACGGGAAGCCGCTGAGGCTGCAGAGGCAGCGGCAAGGGCGGAGGAGGAAAGAAAGGCACGGGAAGCCGCAGAGGCTGCGGAGGCAGCGGCAAGGGCGGAGGAGGAGAGAAAGACGGTGGAAGCCGAGGATGAGGAAGCAGGACATCAAGCAGACGATCATCATTCGTCGAATGAGGATGAGGACAAAGCACCCTGTAGTCAAGTATGCTTGGTTGGTTGGCATGTTTAGAATCCCGGATCCCAAAACAGACGTGCCATTACTTTCCCAAGGTAGCTGATGCCAGTGGAGGCCACTTGAGCATGCAAGCAGTGAGGCATGAGTGAGTGGTTCACATGGTCACAGGCAAAGATAAGAAGAAGAAACTCAAGAAGCCGAAACAGAACCAGGCCTGCTGCAAAGTCTGTGTCGTGTTCTTCGAGTTTCGCTTGGCTTACCCCTTGACTGCAAAGGGTGACGCAGAACCCAAGAAGAAAGGAGACTCAGCGCAACTAGTTTTCTTTGCTTTCGATCCTGAAGTGGGTGTGCGGCGTGAGTCTCAGGCAAAAAGAAGAAGAAGGACATTATCGTTACCGCCTCCTGGTTGCACGAGTTCTCCGCAGAATGGCACTGCTTCTTGTCGCTTGTATCCAAGGTTGGCCAAGTCACCTTCGCAGCGGCTCGCTTTACTTCAGTGCCCATACGATAGAAGTGTTCATCGAGTCTCTTTGCTTTGGGGAGTTGTCGGTCTGTCCTCGCTGAGCACGCCTATGTCAGGCATGACCGCATGACCGGCAGCATGGCCTGAGTTTAGACGGAATCATTTGCAGCTGTATACTTGACTAGCCAGCAGACGGGTTTTAAGATATCCAGCTCTGTATTGTACATACTTTGTTAATGCCTGTTAGCAGCAATCAGCGAAGCTGAATCTCCGTGGGCCCTCAAGGGGTCACGGCAAAGTGCTGAGCAATGTAAGTTCCGCGCATCGTGCAGAAGAGTTGCTTGCAGCATGCAGGGGCACGTGGCATGGCTGCATGCAGTTATACTGTCGATGCTGTTGCTTGTTCGGCCAGGTCGTGTACACGGATGTCGCCCTGGATCCCTACAACTCGCTAGGCCGCACTTCTTAAGCTTCTGCTGCGCTCGGGGTTGCTACGCCTTAAAGGCTTTAAGGGACTATCCGTGGATGATGTGAAACTCACGAAGGACATGACGGCATCGTTCGGTCTGATGGTGTCATCCTGAACGACGAAACGACGCCCGCTTGAAGTCTGCAGCGCCGGTTTCCACCACTATCATGTCAAACCATGGCTGCCTTGTCCAAGGATTGCTTACCTTTGCAAGCAGGCTGTGTAGCAACCTCGGCTGGACGGTACTGAGTTCAATTCCGACTCCGTTATACTGACATCCGGGGCGAAAGAATCTAGAATTACGGAGCACCTGGGCAAAGCAAGGCTCTTGTGATTGGACTTTCGCAACACCCAAGGGCGAGCGGGCATGATCGCATCCAGTTGTGGCATGATAGATATTCTGGTCACGACTCGAAGCCAAGAGCATCAGCATCGGAAATGACTTTCAACATCATTGCACCAACCACACCCGGATCACATGTGCATGCCAAGGGTTTGTGACATGCACAGCGTATGAGGCGAATCCAGGGAACTCTGAGCTCACCCGGGATCATCTAGGTTCTGACATGTCAACTGGGGAGCTGCAGAGGTTTCGAGGAGACTCTGAGAATGCCGCGATCGTTATTTGGGGCTAATCTCGAATTGCCGTGCATCTCTGCCATGGAGCCGCATGTTTACATCACGGACCGCTTCCTCCATTGAACACCCAAACACATAGCAGACTCCGCACCTGTTATTTAGAAGGCTGCGGATCCTCGGTTTGTCCAGGGAGCTGAAGCAAACGCCGATGGCAAACTGAAGCTTTCGAACAACCATGTCCGCATTGCATCGGCTCCCGATTTGCTCGCTTTGGCCTAGGTCTCAAGCCGAAGCGGGTGCTGACTACGTGAGTGCCCGCCAAAGACATCCTACAGCACTTCTTAGCAAGATGGCATCGGCAATCGCATGCAAGGTCCCAGCGACATGATGGATGGGCGAGTTGGTCATGCACTGAAGTGAACAAACGTCATCCTGAAGACGAGCACCGGACTGCCCACAGCTCCGAGGTGCCATCCGTGATGCACTTGATGAAGCCGGATTTACCAATGTGGGCATCATGGTGGGCTGATGTCGCGTTTGTCGTGTCGCTGGGGTGCGTGCCAGCGCCGTCTGCGCCAGACAATCTCGCAGGCATACAGTGCCAAGTATGCCTCGGCCTTCTATGGGTGCGAGCCTCTACATGAATTTGGCCGCAAAGTCTTGTGCGTTGAGTGTGTTCCAGGCCTTTCAGAGAGGCATTGGACTCCAACCCGGTCATCGCGGAAGACTGGCAGGCGGTGAAGAATGGGCACTTACGACTAGGACCGAGTAGGCGTGTGCCAGCCAGGTGCCAAAAGGGAAGGAAACCTACCAGCAGGATCCGGTACCTCGGCTCACTTGCAATCCTCTGACTGGCCTTGCGTTCTTCCGCTTCCCTGGGTGTGCCCAGGCCAACTACAAGGAAGCTTTGCTGGAGGTTTGTGGTCCCGGCTGCAATGCTCGGGAGGGGACGAGCTGGCCACTTGCTGAGGCAGCACTCGACGAGGAAGAGGGTGCGGACATACTGATGGTAAAGCCAGCTATGCCTTTGCACCGAGCAACTTCTTTTCAAGAAATCCTTCCCAAATATCTACCATATACAAGTTGGTTGAGGCCGTACCTCGACATCATCAAGGGCTTGCATGAGCAGAGCAACTTGCCAATTGCCGCCTATCATGCCCAGCCCTTGTGCCAGGGCTTGATGGAAACTTCTCACGGGTCCCGTGGATCCAGGTCTCCGGAGAATATGCCATGCTCAAGGCTGCAGCTCTCAATGGCGCGACACTCGGTGAGCGTGGGATGTTACGCACACACACACACACACATGACCATCGAGTTTGCATTGATGGCCTCAGGCTGGCTCGATGAGAAGGCGGTTGTTCTGGAGGCGACTGCCGGAGTGCAAGTCCACGTTGCATCGAAGCCATTTTTGCATTCTTGGGAGGCCCTTCTCTCCATCAGACGTGCCGGCGCCACGGTCATCCTTACCTACTACGCCAAGCAGGTCCATTGCATGCCCGTCCTTGAACCCTTTGAAGCCTCAGCTGCTAGCTCTCCAGGCGGCGCGATGGCTGCAAGAGGATGCCTGAAATGAGTTCCGTTCAGGAGCAGGTCATTTCTTCGAGATGCTACCGGTTTTTCGAGCTGGCGAAAAAGAAGGGGGGAGAGTGCTTTTCTGCAGCCAGCGAGACTTTTGCAGAAGCAGACGCTACCGCTGCCCGTCTCCGACAAACGAATATCCTAGAGAGCACGCGGTGCGCAGGACCGTGCAGGTTTCAATCGGCACATCAGATGACCTGAGACGGAGACCGCGAGACTTCATGAATGCAGCTTCATGCATCACCATGGCATGCTGCACCTGCGGCCTTTTCGCTCAGTGTTTGTTTAGGGCTCGCCAGATCCTCGGCGAGAGGATGTCTAGCTTGCCTGGTGGAGCGTTTCCGGCGCGGACATGGCCGGCATGGACATTATTAATTACTACGCAGACTTGGGAATCGAAGACGAGAATGCAGACGAGGCTAGTCTCGAGTTGTGCTTTCTCCTTGCTCGTGATGTCCATTGCTGTTCCCACACGTCAGGCAACGATCAAGAAAGCCTATCGAAAGCTGGTCTTAAAATGGCACCCGGACAAGCATCCTGAAAACCGGGATGAAGCAGAGACACAAATACGAAAGATCAACAACGCATACGAGGTCGGGCACACAGCAGCTCATGGTCCCATGATGGCTCTTCCTTGGAGGTCTTGAGCAATCCCACCAAGCGCTCGACCTATGACGATCAAAGAAGAGCCGTCAAAAGAAAGAAGCAGGGTTTCGGGCCACCGCCTCCAAGCGGCGCTGCGCGCTTAGCCGCCGTTCTGCCAGCGCTGTAAGGCTTCTGCAGGCTTGTTGCCATGGCTTCTCGCCGCTGTGTCCTGTAAGGCACCTCGCATGAGAATTCCGAAGGAATTCATGATGATGCCAATAGGTGGCCATGCACCGAATGAGAATGCATAAGAGTTGACGTTTCGTGTGGCCAGGATTCCCAGACAGATTTGTCCGGTATAACGGCCGGCGACTTTTCGTCCAGAGGCGAAAAGATGACCCCGACGTCGAATTCAAGGCAAGTGAGCTGTGGTTTTTTCGCAAGAGCAAGCTGGATGATTCGTTCACAGGCCTTTTTCGAAGACACGAAGTGGTCCCTGTGGTGGCTGCCAGAAGTTAACAATATGTGCCGCGTCAGAGCGCTCGGATCAAAAGCAGCCGGGGAGAAGATGGGAGTACCCAAGCCGCAAGGAGACGTCTTCAATTCACCTGCACAACTGTGTGCTGTGCCGCAAGGTTGCTGCGGGGCTATGTGGAGGCTTGAACTTGTCGTTCTTTATCGACCCAGCCAGTTCCGGCCTCGTCTCCATAGGCCTGAAAAAGAGTTATGTTTGTTCCTGCCTCCGAGGCCCTACCGACTCTGAAGTGGGTTTAGAAGATGCTCGCAAGGGCGAAAAAGTTGACAAGGCCACGGGATTGCTCCAACCATGATGCCTCTTCCCGCACCCTTTGCCTGCTTGTAAAGAGTGTCAGATGCAGGTCAATTTCGTCGCGGTGACGAGTCCAGCCTACGAGGGGGCCTTCCGGTTTGAGGCTGCTTATCGACGAGGCACCGCACCGCCACAAGTATTTCAGCACTATGAAACTAGTAGTGAAGCCACTGGCAAACCCAGGATTTTATTTGACCTTCCTACCGCCAAACCATCTTCGCGTGGCACCGTACGGTGAGGAGACAGCATGCAGTGCCACGAAGAGTAAAGCCACGTTTGCACTTGCAGCAGATTTCCGAAGGAGGATGACAGAGGCATTGCAGACTTCGCTCTCGTGGACTTCGGGGTAATGTTCAAATTCATTGAGATGGAGGAGGTGCGACGGGCCTCTTGAAAGCGCACGCTTGGCAGTGTGGCTTGATTCGATCGATCAAGGTCCTCCAGCCTGCTGTCGCGGCTTACAAGGGGGGGGTAAAGCTGGAGCAGCTCCGGAAGGATCCGAACATTCTGTTGTACTTCTCCAACATTCTGCAAAAGCCAGTGTCCGACCGAGAATCCGTTGAGAATATTAGGAGGCGTGTCGACTGCCTGGCCACCGTAGATCCCTTCAGGTCTGGGATAACGAAGACTTCATCATCTACTTCGAGGGCCACTGGGAGACGTGGGAGTTCAACAAAGACACCCAATCGGTGAGGCTGCAGAGAGCAGATGCGACAAAACAGCAGGCTGCAGCATGCAGTCGTCAGGCTCCGAACGAAAGAGGAGAAGTTGGCCCAGATGCTTGCAACAGTGAAAGATATAGACGGGGTGAAGCACTCAACTGCTTGCTCTTGCTTAAAGCCCTTCTTGGTTTTGACCTCGTGCGACTTGCATGTTGCAGGTCTCGGCTGTTGTGGCGGGTGCAAAAGATGAACTCACCAAATTGCCGCTTCTGGCTGCGGCACGTGCTTTGGTGGTGTTGGCGGCATCCACTCACGATGGCGAAGGGCAAGGGCCTTTGCAGCTGGTGTTCTTTTGCCTCGCGGTCTGGAAACAAGGCAGTTGCAAAGTTTTACTTGTGCTCAGGCTTGATGTCACCAAGACCATAAACAGGATAGCAGCGCAGAAGAAACTGCGACTTAGTGGCAAGAGTAGGTTGCAACGGACACGCGCGCCCTTGCGTGGACCTCGGTGGAGCCGACTTGCTCAGGCTCTCAAATCTGCGAAGCATCCTCGCTACTGCTACGAACGGGGGTGAAGTGGTCTCAGCCCTAGCTGCGTTAGAGAGTGCACGACAATCCTCATCCCGTGATCTTGCATCTATGCCTCTATGCGGCTACAGAAAGTGCAAGACTACCGACAGAACAGTGGATGTCGAGGGGTGTGGGTCGATGCGTCGGATGGACGAATCAAGACAAACGCGCAGCCGAGCATGTTTTCTTCAGTCCACAGGGCGACGGCCCCGTCAAGCAAAGTGCTGCACTATCTGACCAGCAGGGAAGGGGCACTGTACCATCTGCACCAAAATCCTTAATTACCATTTCGTCATGGGTGATATGACGAAGAGGAGGCGGCCCGTCTCGTAAGTTCAGTGCTGCAATCTGCGACGTCGTGTCAGCAAGTTGCAGATCATTGCAATGCTCGCCTCTCAAACAACATTGGTGGCAGCATAGGACAAGGCACGTTAGCTTGCGGACTAACATCTCCAGCAGTCCAGCTGCACCGGAAAGTTGCCGTGCCACTGCTGCTTCACTGCAGCTATCGCCATAGGACTTGGTAGTGCTCATGTGTGTTCAAGTCGGATGTGGTTTCCCGCATGGCGTTCAATCCTGATCCTGATCATTCCACGCGAGCCTTTGGGGCATGTTCAGTGCGTGGATCTAGTCCAGTACTCGAACTGTTGCAGCTGTAGGCTGGCAACACTCCTGAATCTTGACGCGATTTCCCTGATAGGAACTATGAGAGCGCACCTGTGCAGTTGGGAGGAACTTTTGACGAGTTGCATGCTGGTGTGTCTGATAAGTATCATCTCTTCTTCGACTTATACTGCAACAATTGTTTTCAGTTTCCGTGAAAAAGGTGCTGCCATTGAATGACCTGCTGGACATGGCAGATCTCGCGGGTGCAGTCGGGGGCACCGGCGCGAAGCACAGATTTGTCAGATGAAACTGAACTCCTTGCAATGGCGCAATGCGAATCACGGAAAAACCACCCGAGCATCTGAGGAGCTGCGAGCGATCTCGTGCACACACGACAGGCCAGCGGCCTTCCGGCAAGTGTGCAGACACTAGACTCGAGAGACGTCCAGCTGGCACGAAAGAGGTTTGTATTCCGGGAAGGGAAAGTAGCAGTTCGCATCAACTCACGCACTCGAACGGATGCGTATACTTGTTTATTTGCTTACATATTTGTACTTACTGATTTACGCCTGCATATCATCTATGGACACAAAGTGCACATGCTTCTCTGCATGCAGCTCTGCCTGTGTGGAAGTCTGTCTTCTGAAACTGTTCCTGTCTGCCGCGTGGTACTTCTACATACTGCCAGTGTGCAAGCTTGTCCAGTTGAGAGGTGCCGAGGGAGGGGGGGAGGGAGGGAGGGAGGGAGGGAGGGACAGCGTGTCAAACGGACGGGTGCGAGCTGCGCGGGGTAGGACGACTGCTCCTGCCCCTTGCCCCGCAGCAAAAGCAAAGCAAAGCAAAGAGCCAAACCTACACTGCATCAGGCGAGCGTGCTTCCATTTACCCGGAGATGTGTGTGTGTGTGTGCGTACGCACGCGCGCGTGTTTGCTGAATGCTGCAATTCCACCCGTGGCGTTCTATCTCTTCTTCCATTTCTTCCGGCTGGCCGGAGGAAAGGGCCTGGCTGTGTTGCGACATGCTTGTGGGACGGTCGTGCAGCAGTCCATCTTGCCAGGCCGCACAGCAGGCCGTGGCTGACATCGTCTTCAGACAACTCGCTGATGGCAAATCGCAGCTTGACGCCGGGCCCCGGGCCCCTCCCGAGCTTTCCATGCTGGCATCAAGCGAAGAAGTGGGAGCGTCCCAAGGTGGCGTTGCTGGGTCGAGTCCTTCGATTGCCGGGGGCAGGCGAAGTCGACTCCACGCTGGCATCCATGTGCCCAGGTTTGATACGCGTAGGCAGCCATAGGCAGAGGCAGAAGAATAAGCGGCACATTGTCTCGGCTTGCTGTATTGAGAACATGAGCTCAGGACTCGTCATGCAGAGTCACACTCAGTCACATCATGATTGTCATGTGCACTATAGTGTCACCAGCTTACATGTATGTACCGCCAACCATGTCCTCTGCACCTGTGTGCGCCCTGCTGCTGCTTGTGTTTTTCACCAACGCTGTTGTGGGTTCTTCACCATCCCTGCGAAATGTAGTCTGGAGACAAGCCCAGAAGCTAGTGTTCCCAAACTCCGAAATTCGCACACTGTAGCCTGGCCTTGCCGATTTTGATTGCTTGCGCCTATCCTCCAGTCTGTTTGGGCACCTTCCAGTATCGGTCTTGTACCACGATCCACACAGACCGCTGACGGGTTGAAGCCGGTACACTGTTACGAATATCATTACAACCTCGTCAAAGTTAACATCCTTTATATGAAGCCTTGAAGTTTTCATCGTCATCCTCATGTGACTGGTGTCGCAGACCTTGTATATCCAATTTACCGGCGGCACTTCACACGTGCAGTCTGTCATATCGCTGCCCCACTACACGTTTCGAAGAATTCTGCCTGTGCAGCTCGGTTTTGTGGTGCACATGGTTTAACATGTAAACAAGGCATGACCTCGTCAAGGCAAAATCCTTGCTATGGAGCTCTGAATTCCTGCGCGATTGATTCCCACAGTCGTATGCATCGCGCAAGCGTTTGTACACCTCTAAGCAAATACTTTTGTTTCCCGTGTTGGGCCGTACAGGCTTAGGACCATGCATTTGTCATAAGCTTGATGCGTGCGGAGATAGGTAGCGTCAAGGTCATGCACCAAAGGAGCTTCGCAGTTCATCCCATGTTCTTGGTTTCAGACGCTGGTATATCCAAGAGCGCTTTGCTCCAATGTATTCCCATGCTCTGTCTCTCAATGCAAGAGCACGCCTGTAGCACGGCTCATGGACATGTTGTTGCATTGGCATTGCTTCTTCAATCTCCTGCAGCGTTAAGTCCATTGAGCTCCTGGAATTCCGCGCTGTGATCCTCAGCCGTAGACACCTGGCACACAGGCGCTATTCGCGGAATACGTGTAGATGTGCTTCTATATAACCAAACACGCCCCTAAAACTGCATGTATGTAGACATATAGTATATGTACACACACACATACATACATACATACATACATACATACATACATACATACGTACGTACGTACGTACGTACGTACGTACATACATATGTACATACATACATACATACATACATACATGCATACATACATACATACATACATACATACATACATACGCAGTTTCTTAGTTTCTTTTTCGCTCGCGGATCCAATTGCCTAGACCGCTCAGAGCAAAACAGGACAGTAAAAGTGTACCATGTACCCTGGCCGGTCAAATCCTGACTGCAGTCGCGGAGTCGCGGGAAGGTGCGCATGGCCGCTCCATCAACCACACCTTGTAATCTATTGCTCCCAATCTTTGCTGAGGGCAGTCCATTGTGGATTCGTGGATGCACAAACTTATGAGCATCGGATCGTGTGTAAACAACTATGTTTCAGAAAAAAGAATGAATTTGTGCATACTACCAGCACAAGCTGCCAAATCCGCCGAGTGCTGCGAACAAGTGCATCTAGCAGCATGTCGACCCGCGATTGGACAGCGCAGCCTTGGCAGAAAGAAGACAAGCATTGAAACATATTATTGACATGTTTGAAATACACCCCACAAGCAGATAACTTGAGGTCTGGATCCTTAGCGGCCTTAGCTTTGGCGATCCGGTTCTGTTGGCGTCTGTGAGCTGAGGTGCCAGCCGCTCGTTGCAAGTGTGGGGCTAGAGCAAGCTCTGGAGTTCGTGAGACGTGCCGGTTCATCTAGCTGTGTCGAAGTGGTTCTGGCCTCAGTTCCGTGTCGAGAATCTTCGTCGCATGGTTGCGATGCAGGCGTGGCGACAAGCACTTGAATTATCTCCCAAGGCCAACACTTATGCAACTTCCGCACTTCTGATGATGGACACCAAACAGCCCGAGCCATCAGCCGAGGACGCAGCTGCCTAACTGCAGAGTTTCTTGCTTGGGCAGAATGGATCCGGGCTCTGATAGCCCAGAGTCCCCTAAACCTTGCATATGCAGCCAGGCTTGGCTTTCCTTAGGGGCACGTTTCGTTCTTATGCAAGCGCTGTCCGACATCTAGGATCGCACACGAAAGTGGAACAAGCCCTCAATACTGCTGACGAACCCCTTTGCAGCGGTCCAACCAGCAGAGGAAGCAGAAGCAGCACTGCAGCCACGGTCATCAGCGGTAAATCGATTGTAATAGCTCGTCGTAGTGGCGTTTCATGGCACGATGACCATTTGCTGCTTTCCCGGTTGGAAATCCGTTTCTCGTTGTCATCCTGAAGCCCAGATGTGTTGTCTCTGCCTTGCATACGGAGTTGAGCGGGAAATTTAGTTGATGATGTTGCCGACCAGGAGCAGCTGGAGATCCTGCGAACCATAGCTTCTGCAGGTGCCGCTTTGGAGGACATTTCGGGCCGCCTGGCTCGTCTGGCTCCTGTTTCTCAGGCGCTTTCAGAGCACGCTTCGGACGGCGTGGGAGGGGCATGTCCACTGAACGATTTGCAGGCTGATGTGCTGGTGGATGTTGTTCTTGCCATCGCAGAGCGCGGCTTCAGCTCTGACGCCCTAGCTCCCCGGCTCAAACTTTTTTCGAGGCATGCGCTTGCAAGTGCTCCCGGCTGATAGGCGACTGCTACGCAGGTTTTGGCGACCAAGTGCTCCCAGCGACCCTTTCAGTCGCGGCGTCGCAGTTACGCAATGCGTTTCCATGTGGCCGGCCAGGCTCGGGAGCACGCAGCTCCAGCCGACACGGCTTCTGGATCTTGCTGTGGCATCCACCAAGAGCACCAGCTTGGCGCCGGTGATTGGCGCAGTAGTCGGGGCCGCAGTTTGCAGGGCTTCCTGCTGCAGGCTGAACATGTGCTTGCCGTCTCCATGGCCAAATGGATCACAGCGTGAGCAAGCACGACCTGTGAAGCTGTCTTGGTTGTGAGGCCCGTGCCGTGGGTGCAAGTGCGACCATGTGGCCTGTGAGTGACCTGGTTCGCCTGCTCCTGGCGATGGCGAAAGCCAAGAAGGCATCAGCATCAGCACTCGAGAACTGACAGAAAAAGGGGATGGGCAATCAGTCCATCGCAGGCCTTGAACACCGAAGACAAGGCCTATCTTCTGAAGCAAGCCGTCAGGCCCTTGTTTCTCAACATTGTGAAATCCGGCGGCATCTGCGCAAGAAGTGCGCGGGCTGAGGCGGAAGCTCTGAAAAGTGAACTGGGATCATTACCTGCAGCTGACGTTATCAAGTGTTCCGGCTGCACTGAAGTTTGCAGTGCTGAGTAGAACATCTTAGACAACGCATGGTGCTGTAGAAGATCATGAAACCCGCCAGGCTGGTTTTGGCAACTGCGGGGGATGGTTGCTCTGAGTTGTTGGAGGCCGTGACGAAAAAATTGGATGAAGAGCCAGCTGTTCCGTCATCGCGTCAGGCAGCTGCGGAAGAAGCCGTTGATCGACTGAAACTCAGCATGACGCGTGTGTCGAAGCAGTAGCCGAAGACCTGCTCTCGCGGATGTAGTCAGCAAGACAAGTGCAACAAGCTTACCTGCTGAGGCAGAATATCTGTGTTTCCACCGGCGCAGCTGCTGATGCTGTCGCAGGTCGTTTTCGTCAGTTTTTTCAACCTTGATCGGTGCATTGTGTCGCGACTGAAACGAACGCCAGGGGCTGGTCACGGGCCTCGGTTCCAAGCATGGCCTTGTGGCAAAGCTGATCTCTCAGAATTTCCATCCTGCGAGAGTTGCAAACTTGGAGAAATTCGGAGGTCGTTGTTCACCACGGCACCACAGTAGTGCGGCAATGTTTCTGGTGTGGACATCGGCACAGTCCATTCGCTCCTCAGGTTGGTTGATTTCTGGTCTGAGACACTGAAGGAATGGACGAAGGCGGGAGCAGAATATGTGCTGGCCATGCACCCTGCGTCTAGCTCCTCCCAGGGCGCTGGGGGTGCCTGGGACAGCGACGACGAAGTGACTTGGCTGAGTTGCTGGTCCAGGGAACGTCACCAACTCGCTAGAGACTCGCCCAGGTCACCAAGCAGCGTCGAGAGCTGGAGAAAAAGTCTCGCTTGTCAGCAGACCAGGTAGTACAGCTAGCAAAAGTTATGGTCCCGCACCAAGTCTCCTTTGCCCTGTGTCGCATTTGGCTGGGCCAGCTCGCATCTCAATTGCTGAGGCTGTTGGCTCCAAAAGCCTCACCGAAGCCATCGGCGGAAATCTGGTCGCCAGGGCGAAGGAGCTCACCGAGAACGGCCGGAAGGCCAGAAGTCCTATGCACTTCTTTGCCACCAACTGCAGACCTCGTGGAACGATTGCTGAAGGCCGTTGATGCTCAGATCGTAGATGGCGCATTAGCGACCTACTCCCGGAAGGATCGACTGAAGAGAGCGGCTCGGGGCTTTTATCTTGCGTTCTCGTCAGCGTGCTGAAGACCGCAAGATCAGGTTGCAGCGGCCGCTGGCAGCAACAGCCGAAGTCGAAGTCGCCGGCCGACGACTTGGCAGACGGGTGCAGTGCGCGCACTTCTCTGCTCGCACAGACACTGAGGCGCAGTCGAAGCAACAGCCGCGACCGAGGGAGGCCGTCGGCCAAGTGAACAGAGCCCCGCATGCAGCAGCCGTGTCTTCGCAGGAGACGGAGAAGTCGCAGCCGAAGTCGTGATCGCGGTAGAGATCGTGATCGAAGGTAGTCACGGTTCATAGTCAGAGCCAGCCCTAGCCCTTACATGGTACGAACCCGCTCCAACCGCACAAAGCCAATCGAAATAGTGGCCTCGCTGGTGGGTAGCAGTTTCCTGCGTGTGCGCGTTTCAGCCGAGTTGCACGGAGCACCGTCACAAAAAAGAGCGAGTCACATCAAGAGTGCACTTGTGCCGCTGGGTGCGGTGCTGAAGCGCCAAGGCAGGCCGGACGACGCATTTCAGCCGACAGCGACGCCTCACTCGATGGAGTGCAGTGAAATGTCGGCTTTGGAGGTCTTGGGAGAATCGCGCAGCCGGTCGAAGACCATTACACGTCGAATTGCAACGGCCCGACGAGCACCTTTAGTAGGATGAAGATCGATGGCCACTTCTGCTGCATCTTGGCTCAGCACTTTGTAGGATCACTGCCTCAAGATGGCATCCAGCGAAGAAGTGCGGCATGTCTGCACTTCTGCCAGCAGCACCAATCGTTCGCATGTACGAGTGTGTGGGCGGCATCATGCCATCAGGTTCGAAAACGATGAGAACCTTCAGCCCACTGCTCCCAACGTGCAGGACTGGCGAGAACCCTGACACGCACGGTAGCTCCAGAAATAACGCCACAATCTGCGAAGGATAGGCCCAGCGACAGAGATCGGGCCAGATTCGGCTTTAAGCTGCGACCAGCGCAGACCAAAACAGTTCAGGCCATTCCGTAGGTGCAGTTGAAACAATCCTCCGTGGCTTCTCCAGCGACAGGCCGTGAGAAAAGATGCTCAAACCTTCTGCGGCATCGATCTGCAGAAAGTGTTGAGGGATACACTTGGAGATCCAGATTGCATCCTTCCTGCCACAACCTCAACCAGGTTTGAGGCTTGACGTGCTCTGCTCTTTCCTGTCTCAAGGGTTCTCAGGCGTGTTGGGCCCAGGTTCTGAAGCTGAAGCCCACTGCTGGCAAGTACGACTTCAAGGACAAAATCGCAGATCTCCAGGCGATGATCTGCCCCCTGAAGAACGCGCTCTCAGACCAACGATTGAAAGCTAAAGCTTTGGAGGAAGTCGGCGCCTTAGATTCTTGCACCAGCAGAGGCACCTGTCCATACCCCAAATTACAGGTGCCTGGGTTGAGGGCCATGGCGCAACACCCATGAAGGGGGAATGTAGGAGTTGTCAGCCATGTCTAGAATGATGCGGGTCGAACCGTAGGGAACCGGAGGGGCGAAGAGAGGGATCGTTGGAGTCTTTTCTGTTTGTCCGAGAGTGTGCGACTTGGTAGTTGTCTGTGTGCGACAGTTTAGCGGGCTTGTATTGAGGTTGGATTTGCAGCTGTGTGGCTCTGCACGGTGTTCAAGTACGATGGTAGTCCGATGGCGCAAGTTGCGGGAGCCATCCAAAGTGTCAGATTCTCCCGCCGGCCCTTGCCCATCTTCCAGATCTTACTGTGCAGACTTGTTTGGGTCGGTCTGTCATGTTCAGAACGTTAGGGTCCGGTGAAATATTACATCCCCGCAGTGATCTATGCTCAGACTCTTGGAGACCGCAAATGAGAAGTTCGCGAGAGAACCTGTGCATCGAAACGCAGAAGGTGAGACTAGCTGGAGCCCAGAAACAGCAGCAGAAGTGGCTGCAATGTACTGGCAGACGCAATTACGTAAAGGTGCACAAGACCGAGCGCGAAGCACAGCAAGCACACTTCGATGTCAGGGATGTCGAGTGGCTCTGCATTTCGATTGTGGTTTGCCACTCCTCACCTCGCGGGTTTACTGCCTTTTTCAGTAGGGCTTGGCTTCGTTGTTTACCGCTTGACCTCGCACCGTTTGCTACCGCCCGTCATGTGAAATTTAGGAGTTTGGGCATGTCTTTCCCGGTAGAGTCATTGCAGACCGGATGCAAAAGGTAGTCAGAGACGACAGTGACGACGTGTCCAGGGTCCTGGCTAGTTTGAGCGCTGGATCCATCTCGACATGTCTCGACCGGACGTCATTCGAAGAATTTCAGCTGTCTCATGCTTCCTTCAATACTCCATCAACCAAAAAACCCCCCAAAAAACTCACCATTATGTCATGTCCCACGTAGTGGAGACACGAGCACGCGGCCTGGCCGCAAACAGCACCAGAAAAGAAGCCCTCAAGCGGGTCTTTGCAATCGAGGCGCTGGCAGCTGCTGAGCAAGACGTGAACGCAAGGTGGCCACCTCAGTGATCACAGCTCTGACAGCCAGCAAAAGCGCTTGGCATGCAAAGTCATGGGCTGCAACTTGGAACAGTCGGGAAATGCAGCCTGGGCGTGTGTGGGGGCCTTTGTCGCAAGATTCAAAGTGTACGTAAGCATGCATGAAACCCCACCTCTGCAGACAACGTTGCACGAGCACGTGCATTCGGCAGCTTTCGTTCGAGCACAGCCCTGTCACAGGCCCCCCTACGCACATTCCATTAGATTATATTTCTAATCTTCATCCCTGCATCCATATAACCTCTCGCGAGAAAATACGTTGTGTTCCTTTGGGCATGCTGTGGGTCCTCGTCTCCCTTCTAATCCAGATGAGTACGGCGCGACGAGATGATCCAGCGTTGCGTGGCCTTCTTGTTCTTTGCGGCGGTTTGCCCCACGGTTTGCCGTCAACCTGTTTGTTCGTCACGGCACTCACGACAGTGGTATGCCTTGTTCGTGGCGACGGTTCCTGAACGCGGTGGTGTCCCCGTTGTTTGCTCGTTCTCACCCACTCGGAAATCGCGGTGGTAGCCTTCGTGTCGTCGGTCGCCTTCAGATGCTGCTGTTTGTTCCTCGGTGTGGGGTTGCTTGATTCTGTCAGCTATTTCTCCCAGCCGCTCCTCGCCCGGGTCAGGCTCCCTGGAGTGCCCAACCCGACCCCCCGAGGCTGTGAGACTCCCTGGAGTGCCCAACCCCAGAGACTGTGAGACTCCTTGAAGTGCCCGACCCCAAAGACTACCGTGAGACTCTCTGGACCAGGACCTTGACGCCAGCCAGTGGTGTGCCCCATTGTGCCCCCATGGATCGTCGACTGACCTGAATCGAACACGTGTTGTGGTACATGTACAGGGACCCCACGTCCGTAAAGCAAGTCGGTGGTGCAACCCCATGCATGGGTTGTCGAATGACCTGAATCGAAGCCCCCGAATTTATTTTCTGTAGGGTGGGGATGTTCGAAGTAAAATAATTTGTGTTCTGTAGCTTTGCTATGTACTTGAGCCTTCGGGCCGGAGGTGGCGTCCGTTGTTAGGCCGCGCTCGCGCCCTGGTCAATCCCTAACCTTGGCTCCTAACCTCACCAGGGGTTGTGTTGCCCTCCTGGGTCAAGAGCTCCACCCATGCGGTGCAACAACCGCAACCAGCGCTGCACCACTCCGCCTGAATCCATGCCGCAGCGCCTTCTACTTGTAAGGCTACAAAGGTCGTATGCATGCGGCGTCTCGAGCCAGGATAGTGTGGAGCTTGCTTTTGCAAGCTTTAAATGTCTGAGGAAGCTAGGATCCTTAAACCTTGAGGGGAGGGTGGCTGCGAGACATCGCAGATGGAAGGAAATCATAAACTAGAGGACAGTTCATAGTCTCAGACGGAGGAGGGGAAGACCAGATATGGGATGATATCGGTTTGGGCAGAGCAGGCGCCTTCGAGGAGGTGGCCCCAACTAGGAAACGGAAGAGTTTGCCACGGTCTCTGACAGTTGCATCAGAGGCGCGAGGCGAAAAAGATTAGCGTAATTGCAGCCTGGCGGGCCCAGCCGCAGTTTTCTTGCTGCTGCGTGATGATGCATCGAGTTGAAAAACTAAGGTTGTGTTCCTCCAAAAACGAGCTCAAGGAGGCCATGAGAAAGCACTAAATTTCAGCTTGCTCACTGCGATCTTGGCCAGGTTCCTGCGAAGTGTAGCTACGGCTAAACCATTTGTGGCTCGAGGTTGCTTTCTAAGTTTAGGTCATAAACCCCAACATAAACAAACTTGGATGGGTCGAAACCTAGCTGAACTGCTGCCCGTGCCTTCTTATTGCTGCCCTGATGTTGCATCTTCATCTTGTTTGTTTGTCTTGTTCTCTCTCTCTCTCTCTCTCGCGCTCAGTGCAGCCTACTTCATGCACGAATTCAGGATCCATGCAAGTAAGCTTCATGTAGTAAACGTCTCCTCAGAAGTGCAGACGACATGGCAAGCTGGAGGCAGCAGCACAGCTGGCCTCAGTGCAGAAAGAGGCCGCAGGCGAGATATCGAAGCATGCACTGCTGTACGTTGTGCCTGGTCAGCCATGCTGGGAGGCCGAGAAGCACTCCTCGCAACGCAGTTGTCCGAAGAGTCCAACCGAGTGCTTCGTCTTGGGCAAGACATAGAAAAAGCAAGGCCAAAGGGAGAAGCGACGGAGGATGTAAACTCCCTTTTGGCTCTGCAATATGCCGCAGGGCAAGCGCATCTGCGCAAGCAGAAGAGGCAGCTCCCCTCCAGATTAAGACATTGTTGAGTGAAGCCACAATGGAATTGACGGGCAGGCTGCTGCTGCACGCCGCAGATGCGAGGACATGTCGGACAGGCATCGCCGACAGATGGAAGAGGCCTCGCATGTCGATGTCAAGCCACGTGCCTTCGAGCTTCTGTGCCTCGCTGCTTCGAAATGGGGTTGAACCAGCATCACCCTGATTCAGCCTGTCTATGCCGTGACAGGTAGCAACCACTCTGCGTCGTCAGGTCGACGAGGCGATGCAGGCGGCTAATCTCTGATTTCTCTGGAGTAGAGAAGGAGTCAAGTACAGAACAATCATAGCACATGCTTTGCCAATGCCCTCCCCTTCAATAACGAACGTGATGTTGCTGATGCGGGTTGCTATCTGGCAGAATGCCAAAAAGCACGCAAAATTGCTGCCTGCTGCAGTAGTCAACGAAATTTAGTGCATGCGAAGTAGAGGAATGGCCTCACATCGAGAATGCTTGGAGCATGGAACTGTTGCGGGAAGTGATGAAGTCTGGCAGAGCTACGGGAGCACCGTTTGTGATTCCCACCCTGTTTGTGATGGAGACTCCATTGGCAGAAATTCGGCCCACGCCATCGCACCGGCAGTCTGCCCTGTAGGCTTATCTGGCCTACGAACCGTGCAAGCACACAAGGGCAAACTGAACAGATAAAAATGTATTAGTATTAGTGCTTAAGCGCGGATTTGCCCCGACACTTCGAGTTGCCACGCCAGGCCAAGGAACAGCTCGTCGAAGCTCACAGGAGAAAGGAAGCTGCTCTCTTGGCTGATGCCTTGGTGTTGATGCGACAGTCACACCGAATCGCAAAAGGGCTCGGGCGCAGGGGCTGTGCGTTTGTCAAGGCCGATTACAACAAAGCCAAAGATGCTTTGCAACACGAGCACCAGCATCGTCTGAAGGAGTTGGAAGAGGCGCTGCAATCAAAGGACATGCCCTTCGGAAGGGAAGCGCTGCAGAACCCCCAGACTTCAGCCCAGGCTCCCTCCTTCCTTGTGCCAATGAGGACTCCGAGGCAGCAAAGGCATTACAGCAGCTGGAAGAAGTCATCCACGCAAAAGATGTCCAACTGCAAGAGCAGGCCGCTGGTTTGTGACTGCTTGCGTCGAGCTGTCGAAAGCGTGTGGAAGGAGCAACAGGCGAAGGACTGCTTAGCAAATGCCAAAGACCACCACGCCGCAGTAATTGCGGACATGCAGAGGCTGCAGAAGGAGAAGGACTTCAACCTAGAGCCTCGTAGCGCTTTCGACTTGTTCAAGAATGCTGGACAACGTTGTTGCCAACCCGAGCTGTCACTTCATCTGTCAGGAGGAGGAGTTGCACAACGCCATTGAAAGTCTGAAGGAAGCGCACCGGTCGGCGCTCGACCGACGAGAAGCAACGTTCAAGAGCAAGGACGATCTGTTTGATAGCTAGCACAAATGTTAGGCGAGTGGCTGTGCTGCCGCAGGAGGCCGAACTCAACGAGCTCGTTGAACACCTGACTGCGACACACCAACTGCAGATGTCCGAAAAGGAGCAGGATCACAAGCTCAAGGAGTGTCGGCACACATACTAGAGTATCTGTAATATTTGATGAGATCGAGCAGGTGGAGCCTGTGGCTTGAATGTGCATGCTCACAGTAGCAGGAAGATGCCGCAGAGGCAACGCTGTGTGCATTGAAGCAAGAGCTGGCTGACAAGGCTGGACTCCACTGCACTTCTAATTTGTCTGACCGTTTTGTTGCACCTGCTGACGAGGAGCATCACACAAGACAAAGAATTGAGACATTAATGACGAGCCACGAAGACAGCGAGAGATCTTTTCGCAAGCAGGCAGCAGGGCACCTGTAGCATGCCAGGGGCACACAAAGCCATGCAAAGATAGCTACCAGCTACCAGAAAGTATAGAAGTCGTGCTTCACACCCGCCTCCTTCACATGAACCTACCGGCCAGGTGTGGTTGAGGGTTCCAATGTTCAACGCTTGTCAAAGCGACCCAACGGGAAGGCCGTCAGTTTGTCCTCGCTGTTTCAGGAAAAGCAGATGAAGGAGGCCTTACGTGAAGCCAAGACAAAGCACGAAGCTTTGATGGAAGAGAAGGCGACCCCAAAATGCTGCATATATTCTTCGAAAAACCTTGTGTCCGACCGAAGGAGACTTCTTTCAGACAAGCCACGGACGTACTGCAACAGCAGCTAAGAGCCAAGGAGATACCGTTCCGAGCAGAGATGGACTGTGCGCTGCATGTGGAGAGTTGCAGGAGATGACACTGCACGAGACCTTGCAATCACTCCAGTTTCTTCGTGACAGCACGAGCGAGCAACTTCAATGGGAGTTCGGGTCTTGGAAATCTCTTCAATTGCAGCTGTGACAATTTGCTGCTGACTTTGCTCTCCAGGCGACATCGCACGGAGTCAGAGTTGGCCCGGATGAGGCACTTTCACGTTCTTGCGCAGACGCAAACTGAGATCCTCAGCCGTGCGCAGGGACCAGCTGCAAGAGCTACGTAAGATGCTGCAGCACGCTGAGACGGAAAGAGATCTCCAGCACTTCGGTTGCAATCCCGTGCGGCCACATCTTTTTTTGGGCATGTTGCACCATGTTGTCTTGTCGCAGAAGCCCTCTGCTGTGAGCAGGACCGAGCGCGCTTCTGAGCACCAAGCTGCACTTCAGGCTAGCCTTTTGTTTCATGAGTCGGAGGGTAGAGAGACAGTGACTGCTCCATGCAGGAAGAAATTGCACAATCGAAGATCAAAGTCAGCACGCTCCGAGAGGATCTCTCTCTCTCGCTCTCTCTGCCCTGAGGTATGAGACTTCCACTGTCCTTGCAGCAAGTCAGAATCCCATGCAGGAGCTGGCGAGTCTAAGAGCTGTGGCCAGCGTCAGTCTCCTAGAGTTCTTGGAATGACGCGCAGCGTTTGGACTAACTGTGGATTTTCTGCATACTGCCTGCTCAGGCCAAAGAACTGGAGTGCGAGAAGTTTCATCAAGAACGTGATGCCCTGCAGGCTAGACGGGTGTCGCAGTCTGGGTTCGCGGCCTCCTAGATATCACGTTTTCGAAAAGTTAGCTCTTGCTTTCAGTTCTTGTCCCTAGTCGGAATCACAGGTGGAGTTCCGAAGCTACAAGGAGCATCATGGAACTAGCAACCAGCAGCAGATGGAGGCAATAACTGAATTGAGGCTCACAGTCCTGAGCTGAGTTCAGCACGCGCGCAAGTCCACAACGAGTCATAACGAGCACTGAACACTTGTAGTTCCATGGCCAAGGTGGACAAATTGAGCAAACAAGTGGAATGCACAAAAGCGGAGCTCCACAACCAACAAGGCAACCTATCTCGTCATCAAGGCCAGCTTCCAGCAAGTGCCCCTCGCGATAGTACTTAGACTTCTGCAAGGTTACATCCAATCCTTGGAGAGTCAACTGGCCTGTGCCGAGTGCACACGGCGAGAGCTGCACAACGTCATTCAGGAGCGAAGGGCCCAACTCCGGACAGACATAGGCAGCAGTAGCCATAGAACGATGCAAGCTAGGTGGGAGGCAACTTGCTGTGTCGCAGTGGTGTTGTTCACCTTCGCTTGCACAACAGGGTTGAATTCAGGGCATGTGTTGGTTCTCCAGTGGGAACATTGTTTGGCGCAGCCAATAAGATCAATAAGTCACACGGCGTCGTCGAGGGTCTTTCAGTCGAAGTTGTTCTGCAAATGCGTGGTTGTTTCTTTGCCTCCGTTAAAAGGCTGTACCCCTAGGTGGATATTGGCCTGGCAGCCCATCATCATGTGCCGCAGCCTGCCATGGATCAGGAGCTGAAGGGCAACATCCGAGTCTTTTGCCGTGTGCGGCCACAAACCGGAAATCAGCAAGCTGCGACGCAACACTTGCAGATTGCAGAGGCCCTCTAAGCTCCATCCCAATTTCTGCGTGTGCCCACCCACAATGCGACAGAACAAGCTCAACTTGGACTATATGAACGAGCTGCACGGTTTCAGTTTCGACCGCGTCTTCTCCGAGAGCTCTTCCCAGGAGGCCGGTTCTTGCAGTACTTGTGACACGCAACGTGTAGCGTGCGCCCTCTGCTCCTTGAATGTTGCGCAAACCTGCCTTGCCAGCCCTGTTCTGAGTGCTGCCGCCAGCGCGAATGCATTCTCAAGAGTTCTTGTAGACGAGCGACCTGCCAGATACACACCGGAAGCGATACGGCAATTGTCTTTGCTTTTTGCAGCGCGAGGCTATCTTCGAGGAAGTTGGCGGCCTTGTCCAGTCTGCACTGGCAACAGCCTGAGCTGTCTCCGAAACGATGCCAGTAGAGCATGCAGCACGGTCACATCAGTAGTGTCAGGATGGCTTCAAGGTTTCGATTTTCGCGCTGTAGTCTCAGCCTTCCCAGACTGGGGCAAAAAGCTGCTTTGCAGTGATGGATCTGCTCAGGTACGGCCAAACAGGCTCTGGAAAGACCTACACAATGCAGGGTTCCTCCGAGCCTGGCGCACTTGGCCAGGATCTGAAGACGCTCCCTTTATAAGCCATGGGCACTGGCGAGCGTTGAACGATTAAGGTCTTATTCCGAGATCAGTGCAGCAGATTCTGAAGGCATCTGAAGCCATGAGGGCCTCAGGCCAGAGCTTTAAATCACAGCCGTCTAGAGCGTGCTGATTTTATCGCTGTCCGAATCACCCGCCGTAGGCTGGGCATGGACTCTGAAAGTTTCTTTCCTGGAAGTCTACAATGAGGCACGGATTGGAGCCGCCGGTACACCGGCAAAGTGTTGGACAAGTCTGGAAATCTTGAAGGTGCTCCGCGATCTGTTGGGCAGCGATGGAAGCCAACTGGTTCATGTCATCAAACACGACGATGCCTGGGGCACGTGCGTCACCAACCTCACACTGATGGAGGCTCGTGGTGCTTTGCTGGGCTTTAGAAGTGTATAAGAAGAGCGACAAAAGCGCCCCAGAGGTCTCTCACATGGAGCAGATCAGCAAACTAATGGAGACGGCAGCCAGGGCTCGATCCGTGCCTTGCCTGATCCTGGACACGTGCCCGTGCGTGGCACGACATTCCGCTTTGGTGGAGGTTGGGGCAACTGAAATGAACGCATCATCGTCCCGCTCGCATTCGATATTCGCTTTGTACCTCCATGGCATCAACCGGGAGCAGCATTCTGCGGGGACCTAAGCCTCTCAGCGACCGGGTTGAGCTTTCCTCGGGCCCACCTTCAGGAATTGCACGGCGCACTGCACCTGGTGGATCTCGCGGGATCTGAGCGGCTCGACAAGCCACAGGCTGAGGTCTTCAACAGCGAAGCTCCGCGCCTGCTTGCATGCCATAGTGCAGAATGCAGGTACCCTGCAGTTCACAGTCATAGTTCAGGAAATGCTATAAAGTTCCACAAAGCTAAGAAATTTGCTTAGATGCGTAGACTTTTGATGTAAGGTCCGGCTCGACTGGCGACAGGCTCAAAGAGACACAGAACATCAACAGGAGCTTGCAAACGCCTCGGTGCACCCGATGCTGCATCATCATTTCCTTATCTTCGCCTTGCAGACCTGAAATGTGAAAGGGCAGAGGATGCAAAGCTGCAGGTCAAGCTTGGCAGATGTCTTTCTTGCCAAAGCCGAAGGGCGATCCCACATTCCTTTCCGCAACTCGAAGCTGATCCACGACAGCAATAAAAGCGTGACTTTCCAAGACTTTGCTATGGTGATGTTCTGGCAAAGCTTCAGCCCATCTCAGGACACATCTGATGGAGCCTGGCACTTGTACGACCACTATGGAAAAGATTGCGCAGACGCTTCACACTGAGGCCCTGCCTGAACGGTCAGGGCAAGACTCTGATGCTGGTTACGGTCAGCCCCGAAGCGGACCACTCGCATGAGACGCTGTGCTCCTTGCGCTTCGCCTCGCAGGCTCGCGGCCTGATTCATATCATACTTCTTATGCAGTTCCTCTAATAGTTCTAACATTCTAACATGCTCTATCTTTCTATATGCTCTCTCAGGTCAGCCAGTGTACAACCGGTGGCAAGCCGAAGCGCCACTTGCGATCGCTGACAAGAGGAAGTGCGGGCGTCACGAAAACATCTTCAAGGCGGGTTCGATTGTGAAAGCCTGCGCTTGCTGGGCTGGGCGTGCGATTGTGACATGTTTGCAGTGCAGGTCCGTGACCTCGTTGAGGCACGGAAAATGAGCAGTGGTGAGCTTGGCTTTCCACTTCGTCCACTTCTCGCTGGTTGCTGTACAGATGGGGTCCTCGTGTACGGAATTATCTTGCACCGCTGCTTCCTCCCTTTTTTGGGTTTGTAATGGAATTGACTTAATAGAACGTCAGAACGGGCCGATGCAGCCAATTAGTTTGCGTGTGTACAGGCCAATCGTTCTTCTGCATTCATATCAGGAAAAAACTCCCTGATGCACGCAACCCACTCAGCACATTCATTGGAGACCGGAAGAAGGTCAGAGTAATTGGCCCTTGCTATGGCGGTTTGGCCCAAAAGCTCGGCGGAGTTTAGCAGGGCTCCAGGTTTTGACAGATTCTGGAACTCGTTGCCGAGAGCGATGTTCAGCACCTTCCTCTGCAGAGCTGTCAGGCTTTCATGCACAACGGTAAACATGCTACAAGTAGCACCAGTCAAATCTCAGTCGGTTGGAGCTAAGGGCGAAGCAAAAATGAGAAGGAGCCTGAATGGGACCCAACCTTTGAGCCCCTCATGAAGGTGCTTCTAGGCAAGAAAGGCATAAAGACAAAGACCGCAAGCGAAGCACGGGGCTTAGCTGCGGCTGGTGCTGTGTGTGAGTTAGAATATGAGAACATGTCTGTGTGCGTAGTCAAACGCTGCTGCACATAAGCAGGTCGGGCGCAAGAAAGTTGATTATTTCCGTGGAAAAGACTTCAAGAAGTTCCTGCTGGAAAGCGAAGGGATCTTGACAAAGAAGTGCCCCAAAGCGCTGGAAGAAGCTTTGGATGGCCAGGTCCCGCAGACTGATCAGGATGTTGTTCGGCTGGGCCAAGAGCTGATTGACCGGAAATTCTGCTACAAGGCTGGGAGTCCGTCAGACGTTCAGAATCAGATGTCACCCGATCGTGGTCGATGATCTCGCGAGGCTATGTACAAGCCCCTGAACCCGACCTCCAAGTCTGATGATGGTGCGGAAAAGAAGCCCAAGAAGTGGCCTGACAGATTGGGCCGAACGCCCAACCAGACCTTCGACTCGGAAGGGTCCTGGCCTCGGTCTAAGTGTAAGCCATCTGTCGGGCGACAGTTCCTGACCTTGTCAATAAAACTCGGGCTATCATGTGAAATGGTGGGTGCAATGAATGGCAGGAATGCCTTTCTTGGAAGTTGTGTGTAGCCGACTCGTTGGGAGAACACTAGACTCAGGCTCAGGATCTTGTCTGGCTTGCCCTGTCAGGTTTTACGTCATCACATACGAGGGCGGCAGCGGTCTGCAGCACTTTTTGCTGGGATTGATCATTGCTGGAGTCCTCCTCGCGTGCATGTTTCCTGTCTGGCCAATGTGGGCCAAGGCATCGAGACGCTTGCCCCCTAACCTAGAAATTGCAAGAGTCCTTGTTCATGTTCTCGCCGCTGCTTCGCTTGCACGCAGGTGGGTGTGTGGTACTTGAGCGTGATATTTCTTACGTTGTACTTCGGCGTCCTCATCCTGCGCATGCTGATCTTCACCATGTTCTGGATAGTTGGCTTTGACTTCTGGATCTTCCCAAACCTGAACGACGAGCTCTTGCCTCAGTTCTTGGCAACGATCTGAGGGCAAGTCTTCGAGATCTGAACAGTCTTGAAAGCTGTTGGCATTGTTGAGGTACTGCGGATTCCTGGACTCTTTCCAGCCTCTGTATTCGTGGGAGAAGCGAAAGGATGACGCCTTGATGCTTCTAGTTCGCTTCGGTAGCTTGGGCATTGCCGCCGTGGCGATCCAGCAAATTGCAGAAACAACATCTTTTGAGGATGTGCAGGACTGGCATCTGAGCCATAAGTCACAAGCACATTGTGCCGGAGTCGCAACGACTTCCGTGCCAACAGGACCTGGTCACAAGCTCCTATGCCGATGTTCTGGCATGGGGTGTAGACAAGCTCACCGCCCTGTGATGCTCTCAGCCGCTCTTAGCTCCGCCTTACTGTAGCTAACCATCTCTTCTCAAGGGGAGGTGCAGGGCGCTGTCGTCTTTGCCGAGGCCAGGCTCGGAAAAACAGGCATTGCCCAGCGTGGAGGAGCTGCAGAAGGAAAAGGACTGCTTGGACTACGTGCTTGGAAGCGACACTTGTAGTGGTTGCTATGGGTGTTGGGTGTCGACGGCACGATCCTAGTCCGACGATAGGAAGGGATGGTTTCAAACAAGACCCTTCCATCCGAGAGGTCGATGGATGCTCGGGCGCGGGTGGTACCTAGGTGGCCTTCCCAAAGCCTGTCGGCCCTGCAGTTCCTCATAAAGCAGCAGTTAGCACAGAGCTGCAGTGGCAAGCCGCTGGATGCTGCAGGACATGGAAGAGAATGAGACGAATGTGACCGCTGACCTTGCCGATGAAGATGATGACAAAGACGACGATGCGGCACAGGGGAGTGGAGCACCACAGGAACAAGTCCATGAAGAAGAGGCTGCGAAAGAGGAAACCCAGGATGACAGCTCTTAGTTCCTACCTGTTCTAGTAAAGTTGAGTGCAGGATCTTGCTCGAGAATAGCGCGCAAATCCAATGCATGAGGGTCAGCATTGACCCAAAGAGCAGCCAAGAAGCACAAAGCGCTCCATAAAGTCCATGAAGCAGTGCATAAGAAAGACGGGTCACGGCAGATTCTCCAGTTGGCCAAGCAGCGCATGCTTGGCATGATGCTGTGGGTGCAGCGCAGCGCAATGCTGCCAGAAGCTGAATAATTTGACCCTGTTCATCCACTGTGCCACACTCCTCCTCTAAACTTGGCACAGGATTATCAAGAACTGGCAAGGGTGTGTGACAAACTGGACCAGTGTTCATTTGCTTTCAAGACGCTTGCATATGCAAGTGCACCTTTGTTAATCCGGAATGCTAGTTTTTGTGCTTCCTCGAACTGTTCGTGCATGTAGCATGAAGGTTTGGATTCTTGTGGAAAGGTTTCCGAGGACGCATAAAAATCACCAACCCCGGCATCTAGTGCCACAATCTGCGTTTAGCAGCCGCAGACCAGAAACGCCTGCTCCGGCATCATTCGAAAAGATGGCACCTGGGCTGTAGCCAACCTGGCTAATTGACTTTCGCCTCCAGACGGTGAACTTCCTCATGTCCACAAACCTCCTGGAGAGACATGTTGGCCATGGAAGGCCCAAGTATTTGCACGCAGCATGGAAATAATCAACAGGTTGTCTAGTACGACGAGTCTGGAAGGCCCTTCGAGCTGAAGTGTCGATATCGTGGAGCACAAACGGGTCTCACAGCAAGCGCCAAAGCAAATCGAAGGGGAGTGCCATTAGGAAGACACGTGTAAGGAGGCTCCACCGATGTGGCTGCCTCTCAGACGGAGCTGGCCGTCGATCGCGAGATGATACTGAGACATGCAAGGTCTTGGATATGGCAGCAGCCGCAAAAGCACCAGGCAAAGCCGCAGCCGGAGCAAAAAGCGTCAAAAGACAACGGATCCAAATCAGCCTCTGTCTGTCAGCAGCTGCACGGACACATACACCTCGGACTCCGATGACTCGGACTACTCGTACTCCGAAGTCTCAGAGCCCAAAAAGGCTGGGGCAGGTCCTCGTCTGGAAAAGGATGAGGTGCAGCATTTCGAGCTACTCAGCATGGAAACTCTCAAGCTTTGGCGTGGACATTGCAGAACCCAATAATTTGGTGAACCTGATTCCAATTTGTTGAAACCGAGGTGGCGCGTGGGTTTGCAAATGAACGCCCGCTACGTCGTGAGCAAATTCCTCGGTGATGGTACATTCGGCCGCGTGTTGCAAGCAAAGGATTGCAAGCGAAATCGACAAGTAGCCATCAAGATCATCCGAAACGAGCCGCACTCAGTACAGTCTAACAAGCGCCTGCAAGCCAACTGCAAGTGCTTTCTGAGTAGTGGTGTCATCTGTGCGCTGGTCACGGACTGAGGTGGCAAAATACACACGTAATGCGATGCGCGAAGCAGAGATCCTGCAGGATGAGTACGAATGTGATGTTACGACTGTATGACAGTACTGCCCACTCACAGGCTGTGCCTATTCTTCGTTCATCCATTGCAGGACATACGGGCAGCAGACCCGAAGCAATCCCACGGCTGCGCAATGACCTCAGCTACCTCTGTCCGGCGCAACTATGTCCCGAAAGATCCGTCAGACTGCTAGTAAGCTCCCCGTTTTCGTGGACGTTTGAACTTTGCGATTGAGGTCCGCCTGCATGAAACTTTCTTCCACGAAGCTGATGGAGAGAGATTGTTCTGTTTGGTGTGCGAGGCCTCGCCAAAAGCAGGATCAGATGTTTGTTGCACTGATGACATGATGCCCATCTCGACTTGTTTGTGACATCTCAGGCCTTGGGCATGTCATTGTATGATCTCTTGAAGCAAAATCAGTACCGTGGACTTTGGGTGCAGGACGTTGTGTGAGCATCGTTCCCAGGATCGCTTCATCTTTCCCATGCTCGCAGGACATACAAAGCATTTCCAAACAGTGCTTGGAAGCTCTGCGATTTCTGCATGCTGATCTCAACCTCACGCATACCGACTTGAAGCTCGAGAACGACTCTGGGCCGCAATGCTTGAAATGTCGCCATACGGCCCGACAGTGGCCTGCACTGCAACGCACAGGTGCTTCTACGCTCATCAGAAGCTCCATTGCCATCAAAGTTTCCTCGCGAGGCCATCCATGCATTCTCCCCCGGCTGTGTTTAAGCTTTTTCTCTACGACTTCCGAGGAGTTTTGGCAATCGCAGTCCTCGTCGTCATCGTCACGGCGATCCGGAAGTGGGTACGTGGCACACCAAGACTTGCATGCCGGTCTGCATGCCGGCTGAGCTGTGCATGGCACATCGACTTGGTAGCTTGACAGTGTTGCATTGCCTGCTGTGCCTGGTGCAGAATCCAGAGTGCACACAGGACTGAAAGACGGAGTGCTAGGCCGCTAGGATCCGCCAGGCTAGACTCTGCTAGACGAGGTGGCAAAGTTCGGAGGCTGCAGGTCCCGTTTGCTTAGGTCCGTCCGCAGTCCACGGAGATCACACTTATTGATTTCGGCCATTTGCTCAGAGACTCCGTTCTCTGTAAGCGCTTGGCTTTCGTGCTTGTTGTGCGCACACTGGTCCTCACACACAAACGGCTGACAGGAAACGCGACTTACGAGCTCGAACACCATTCCTCCATCATTAACACCAGGCGTGCAGGAAGCTCTGCTTCCAAGAATCAGGATCTCTGGGTTTGCACTCCGGGCAGTTGCAGAGCCGCGCAACCAACTCGTGACTTTGCCGAACCAGCCGACTGCTCTGACAGGCAGTATCGAGCACCAGAGGTAATCCTGTCACTGGGTGGTGGCCCAAGTGGGTCTGAAGGGATGGCTTGCGAGTCCCTTCTCTAGGCCACTTGCGAATCTAGAGCAGCGGAGAGTCTATGAGCATCGGTTGTGTTGCCACCTAAAGCGTTGGTGGCCTACAAGGGCCGACGTTGCACAGAGTCTAGCAGCCAGCTCCAGGTTGGAATGAGGTGTCTGATTTGTGGTCTATTGGATGTATTGTTTCAGAGCTCTACACTGGCGAGCTTTTGCCACTTATTTGCACATTAGCCATCCTGGTGGGAAGTGTGTTTTTGTTGTCAGTTTCCAGGTTTCGCACGCACGAGAGCTTGGAGCATCTGGCGTTGATGCAGCGGGCTTTGGAGAGGCGGGGCTTAAAGCTCTGTGTTTGTGTGACGCTTCGGCCCAGCGCTGATCGAGGTTTCCCCAGACCCTGCTTGCGAAAGCAGGGGGAAATCACAACGATCGCTTCGTTGTCAAGGCATTGCCCGGTTGGAGCCGGGGGTCTTGAGGCGAGGCTGTGAGGCTCATGCGGACGCGGGATTTCCGAGCAGGACCCATCTTCGACCTGGCGACTTCGCTGGCCGGAGGGAGCACCTTCAGAAGCATCGGGCAACAAGGCGTTTGGTACTGCCTTTCAATCTGCTCGTAGCTGGGTAAAGAAACACCACGCACCGTATCGAGATCTGGGGATTCGTTTGTCGGCACAGCTGCACCTTTCAAGAGCTAACAGAAGTCCAGAAAGACTTGATATGTGTTCGGCAAGATCGTGGCTGTGGAGCATCGATCGCTGGAGAATGCAGCTTCAGGCACTGCAGCAGCCCGTCAGACGAGCATCTTGACACTGGGCATCCGATGCGGAAGTATTCATGCCTGTTTTCATTCATCGCACGAGCGCGTACAAGGTTTTATGCCGTCCGACAGGGGGGGCGGCTCTGCATCGGGCAATTCCATGGAGCCCCGAAGCAAAAGAAAGGGGCAGAGACACCAAGTTCAAGAGAGAGCACGAGGAAGCGTTCAGGACTAACTGCAGGCAGCGACGACTGGTCGGACCATGCTATTCGGCTCGTGCGGTCCAAGCAGGGACTCGTTATGGGACTTGTTCTTTCCACCGCGCGCGGGCCTGTACAGCTTTGTGCGACGGACACATAACCTCACTCACTCCACTGAAAGTACCATCGAAGGGCCAGGCGAAGGTGACAACAGTGGAGGAAGCATTCACCTGGCGAACACAAGTGGCCGTGACATGCTTGTTGATTCGTTGGTTTGCAAATCAGAGCACCACTCGGCCGGAATGAAAGAACGTCCCTGATTTTTGCAAGTCGGCAAACTAGCCCATGATGAGCAGGCATGAGCCAGCTTCCATCGACAGAGGGAGCAGAATCTGGAACGAATGTTTCTGGACAGGTCCGGCAACAAAAGCCTTTGCATCAGACGGTGCAGAAGCAGCATAGGCGGCATGCGTGAAGATTGTCATACGTAGTGGGCCGGAACCGTGTCGTCAGAAAGCACAGGTCGCTGGCAGATTTCACAGCGTCACTCCTGATCCTGGATCCATCGAAACGCCCTTCAGCCAAACATGTCGCTGCCTGAGATAGCCAGAGCTGCGAAAGCTCGAGTATGTTGGATATGCGAATTCGAGCTGCAGGCTTTGGACCACGCATTCCTCGAAGAGAGGTTTGCCGATTGACCAAAAAGCATGGTCACCGAACGGGTTGTGATCGTCCGGACCTCGAAACTCACAAGCGAAAAATGTTGTTTTCTCTGCATGCACAGCGCCTGTTCCGTGGTGGGGATGGATCGGTCTGTGGGCGCTCAACGTTGGTAGCGAAGGAAGAAACTCAACCCGCAGCTCGATGCCAGAACCTGTGACCCATTGAGGCCATGCAGTGACAGAGCCAAAGACTTCATTCTTGTTAAACTTCCTTCGTGTTCATGCAGGATCGAAACCCCAACAAGCAACTTAAATGATTAGGTTCGTTTTGCTTGCCCTGTGGTTTTTCATAGGATTATTTCATATTGACTAGCTGTAGTGAGACCACTAGTTGTACTGAGACGAAAATAATATTGAGACATTCGGAGACATTCGACATAGAATAGAATATATTGCGCTATATATTTCGATCTGACCTCTAATTTTCATTGAATAATTTAAAGAATAGTAGGTT